GTACTCATGTGATCACAATATTTTTATACATTTTGCGCTGGCCAGCCAGTTCTTTATTGCACTTTCAGCAGTAATCGATAACTTTTAAAAGCTTAAACATTAAAACGAAGGTGAAGTGGAATATTATATTTATTTGCTAGACTTAAACCTAATTTAAAGGTGGACTTAATGTTCTTCTATCGATGAGTTACCAAAACGATTACTCGATATATTTAAGTCGATAAATTTGTCAAGTTGTCGAACACTTAAGCTGCGCCTTATAGTAAACGAAACCTTAACTACCTTATAAATTGAATTTATATACTTCAATCGATAAGTTAAGTTTTTCAAAAAGGGAAGCGATAACTTAAGAACTCGATTAACCGATATAAATTAAATTCATAAATTTTTCAAGTTGTTAAAAGAACTCTTAACTTCTTCAAAAATTGAATGTATCTTCTATCGATAACTAAACAAATCGATAATCGATAAATTTGAATTGATAGAATTGTCAAGTTGTTAAACACAACATTAAATTTTTCAACTGGAAAATCAATTCAAAAATATATTTATTAATTAGAAAAGAACACAAATCAGAGCATATATCAACTTATAGAAGGAATTATTGATTAAAAGACCTTATTCATGCCTTTCTATAATTTGTTAAATGTCCAAAATATGCCATAACTGTTTGTTACTTAAGCATAAAGTTACAGCTCTTTAGAATGCTAGCAAATTGTCTAAGAACTTAGAGAGCGGATCAGTTCCGAATGATCACAATCAAGATGTGCCAGAAACGTATAGAAAACAAATATCAAATTCGGTCATCTTAGCTGTAGAAACTCATAATAAAAATCTATTATAAAGTTAGCTAAGACATAATTGAATTGTTTTACAAAATGTATTAAGATTGATTGCATATAAATATAATTTATATAGATAGCTATGTGTAGTTAGCAATATGTGGGCTAGTGTATTTAGATCTTTGGCATTCTTAAATGAAATTTTTCGTGTTTTAAGCACATTTAGCTAGCTTTTGTTATATGCAAATCGAATCAGAGCAAAACTCTCGGATGTTAAGCGCCTATCAAATGCTGTTAATGGACTCGAAATGATTCTCAATTTATGGCTGAATGCAAATATTAAAGAAAAAACAAAAAGAATTGCGACGCCTTGATGCAGTTTTTTGCTGTATTTTTCTTCTTTTTTTTTTTTTTTTTTTGAATTGTCTTGTTTTATTTATTTATTTTATTTTTTTTTGTATTGTTTGCTGTTTTCGGTTTCTTTGTGGCCTGACATTGACATTTGCTGCTGATGTTGCCTCTGTTGCCTCAGTTGCTGCTGTTGCTGCTGTTTTTATGATCCGCAGTCTCTGTTAATTGTCTTTGGAGGGTTAGCGATATGTGTAACTAAAGCCATTTGTCTCCAGTCTGTCTCCCAGGATGTTCACTTCGTTGCATATGCCTGGAGAGCTGCCCTCTAAATCGTTTTCGTCTCAAGTGCTGCTCAAGTTGCTGACCCATCTGGCCAACGTGTTCCCCCTCCCTGCTCCCCCTGGCTGCTAGTTTGTTTGCTTTGTCGGCAAGTTATCAGTCAGTCAGTCAGTCAGTCAATCAGTCAGTCAGTCACCGTAAACTTGAACTGCTCTGCGACTGCTGCCAAGTCCAAGTTGTTTCCATTTCCATTTGCGGCACTGCAGCCTTGAAGTCACACTTATTTACATACACGCTCGCATGTGCGTACTCTTGTGCACTTACATGGCACGGCAATATTCAAAAAGTTCATTGGTCAGCTAATGAAGCCCACCTTCAGATCTTTTGCTGTTGCTGTTTCTGTTGTGGTTATTGGCTTGGGCTTAACTTGCGCCTCTGACACAATTGTTACCAATTATTTCAAGCTCAAAGCTGCGCCCACCCGTTGCGAAACTAGAAAATTTTCCATTAATTTGTCACTTGACATCAATCATAAAACTTCAGACATAAATCACGGTATTATATTTGCTTACCGCTAAATATGGCCAGCTCTTAAGAACGCCAATAAACCAAAAATATAAAACTTGTTTGCTCAGCTGCTTGCATATTTCGCGTTTGCGGAATCAAACACCAGAACGCAGTCGCTTTGCGACATCTTTCAACTGGCAATTGTTCTCTATATATATTATTTATCTTTAACTAATTGCCATAACTAACATGTGCTAAAAATTATTTACAATAGATTAGCTGGAATTTGAAAATTTATATGTTTATAAATAGCATTTCGGTTGAAAACATATTTTTTTTTTTTCCTGAATAGAAAAATTCTTGTGCAAACGAAGCTTATTTTACCTTTTGGCTAAATTCTGTTCGACCATGTGAAATAAGCTGGAACTTAAGCTATAAGAATATGTGGTTTTCTTTCTGTAACATATCTATGCTATCTTTTCTGTTAATTAACAGCGTACGTTTTCTTTGAATATCTGATCTTCAGTTAAGGATTGCCCTGTTGCGTTTTTTCCATAACATTTCTATGTTATCTTACAGGCAATAACATTTGTCTGCAGTTATGAGGCGCTCTTTCGATAACATTTCTATGTTATCTTACATTGTATGTCATGTTAAACATTTGTCTGCTGTTATATTTAATCTTGACATTATTGTAATGCTCTAACACTAACTAATATTATCTTAAACTGAACTATCCATCACAGACAACATAAAATGTTCGCTACACTCGATTCTGTTTAATATTTCTTGTATTTGAAAATACTACTCGAATGACTAAAATTTATAGTGAGAAAATGGTCAATTTTGGGTCATTCACTAGAAACTCACTCGTTTCATAGCACACCCAATTCCATCACATGCAAAATCTATAAAACAATCCAAAATTGACAGAGCGCCATCATTTTTGAATGGCATCCACACGACACAAACATTTGAATTTTTGTTTTTAATTTATGCCAGGTCGAACAAAAGCGACAAAAACGAAAACCAAAATACAAAACAAGCAAATAAAATACAAAATAGATACAAAACTTTTGTCATAAACTGTGAAATGTACTCGTTTATCTCTCGTGCATTCACTGCAATTGTTTTTGTTTTTGTTTTTCAAGGTTGTCTCTCGCTAGGAATTGAGTTGTATGCACTACAAAACTTAGATATTAAAACGAATAGGTTTCAAAAAAAAAAAAATAAATAAATAAACTATCGAAAAGTAGTTTTAAATCGGACCAAAAGCCCAACGGATTTTGGCGCGCGTGTGTTCGACATTATTTTGTAGTTGATTTTATCAATAGTTTTTGCGAGCCACAAAATGTGCAATAAACTGGCAGATTAGCCAAGCAATTTGCATACCCTGCACTCAGTGGGGTATATTGATTGTTGTATACATTTTGAAAGAGTTTGTAAAGTTAGCTTTAAATGTCAACTCAAACCCTTTCCAGCAAGTCTCCTCTTGAGTTGGGAAGTTGATGTCGATTTAATGGGCTTAGTTTATTTGCAGGGTATTCTCCTCTTCGACTCTAGATTTCTGTTACATATCTTAAGGCGTTGCAATTAAGCTTCTACCTATGAATATGCATAATGTCCTACCTTGCGTTGGATATTTGCATAAAAACTTCTTCTAGAAGAAACCGAAAAAAGGCAGAAAAATGGAAAACTGAAAACGGAAAACAATATGTAAACAAGTAAAAGCCCAAGCACAGTACGAAATAGTTGAAGGTAAAACAGCAAAGTTCAAGCGCAGCGAGAAAGTTGAACACGAAAGAAAAGTGTTTTTTTTTTTTATATTGAAGTGCTTTATTTTTTCTCTTTCTAACAGTTTATTGCCTGCTCGCTCGCTCGCACACTCTCCATCCAGCGGAGATTGACAAAAGCGTACATTGAACTATTGAACTATCTGTCATTTTCATTGTTGTGGTTAACGTGATTAACATTAGACTCGTTGTGCACATTCCCATTCCCATCAGGATGACCACCATGCCCGTGGTGTGGTGCACCGATCCGAATTCGGTGAACAACAAACCGACTGCGTTTGCCCTGCACGGCATACAGCTGCAGGGCAATGTGACCGAGAAGCAGGTGAATGCGTTGCGCGAACTGGTCAATGCGGCGGCCGAGGGACGTCTTATACTGCCCTCGGATGGCACATTTATGCTGCTCGACAGCGGCCTCAGCATCGAGAGCTCCATACTGGCTGGCAAGCAGACGCCCGATGTGGACAGCAGCCACATGGAGCCCGCCAAGAATACCAAGAACACATATATACTAATGCCGGTTAGCAATAATAAGAGCACAGGCAATGCCACAACAACAACAACAACAACAACGGCAACAAATTCCACAACAAAAACAACAACGATGGGCAATGGCCATGGCCAGTGCACACCGGCGGCCATTGCTGCCGCGGCGGCACAATTGGAATTTCTGTTGGAGCCAAAATATTCAACATTAACGCCGCCCAATTCACCGCCTAGCTCGGAGCCGGGCCAAGAGATTCTGTACGAGTTTTTGTGCTGCGCCAAGTGCATGAACGAGCAGCGTGCGGATCATAACGGCACCTGCGGCAGCCGGCGACTGCAGCGCTTCCTGCGGCACTGCAACAATGGAAGTGGCAGCAACACGGAGCCGCCGCAGTTCAATGAACTGGCGCCAGATTTGAATGTGAATCCTGTGTGCAGCATTGCCAGCAAATATGCGCGACGTCAGCAACAGCTGCGTCACAAACAGCTGGCGACCATCTCAATGGGCATTGCACGTAATCGGCCCAATGAACGTCGTCATCATGGCAAATTACCCATGCACAGTGTGAAAATCTTTCATAATCGCAGCAGTTACACTACCACGAGCGTGGGCGTGCCAGCAACAACAACGACGACGACAGCGACGGCGACTCCCAGTGATAGTCGCCCGGCGACGGCAGCAACAGCAGCTAGCGCGAGCGCCAGTTTAACGGTGACAGCGGCACTGTCAACAACGCAGCAACTGCGCAGCGGAACGCCGCTCTATGCGATTGTGAGCAAAAAGCGTGACGCGAGCATTCAAAACTATGAAAAGAACAACAACAGCAACAGCAACAATACTAACAACAACAGCACAAACAACATCATGTTAGCTGCTGTGCCAGAGGAGCCCAGCCATTCGAGCCCCACAACGGTTCAAGATCTAATCAGCTTTGAGGATGATGAACCCATTGAACCACAAAATGCCAGCTTAACCAATGCAGCAGCAGCAACAGCAACAACAGCGGCAACAACAACAACAACAACAACTAGCAACAACTGTGATAAGCAACAACAAGTGGATCTGCTCTGTGCGCCCAACGATGTGACCGGGCTGCTATCAACGCTGCTAGTGACGCCGCCACCAACGCCGCCCAAGCCCAATTCGCCAGGCTCGAATAGTTCCAGTCGGAAGACAAGCTTTGATTCCACCTGCACGGTCAGCTCGCTGGACTCGGGCTTTATGGAGATGCAGAACAAATTGGACGCGTTGGCTGCCGCGGCGGCTGTTGCTGCTGCCGGCGGTGAGAAGATCGCGCGACGCAACTACAAGGAATGCCTGACGCAGTCGCGCAATCGCCGCAAATCCTATGAAGAGTTCAAAGCCATGTTTGCCGAGGTGACGCAGCCGGAAGCGCTGGCGCGGCTCACACGGCGACGCTGCGGTGCCATGCAGGAGCAACTGCAGCAGCAACAGCAGCAACTGCAACAACAGCAGCAACAAGTGGTTGCAAGTGTTGAGCTGGCAGCGGCGGCGGCCATGCCCGTGGCGGCAGATGACGCAACGCCAGCAGCAGCAACAGCAGCAACAACAACAGCAACAACAACTACAACAAACAGCAATAACAGCGTGTTGACAACGCTCGCCTCAATATCAGAACAAGAAACCACAAACAACAACAACAACAGCAAACCGGATTGCGCAAACGAGTTTGCGGATGAAATGGATACCGGCGACGACTTAACAACAACAACAATAGCAACGGCGACAGCAACTGTTGCCACCGCCGCCGCCACCACAGAAGCAATGCGCAAGAATTCCGATTTTCTATCGCAAATACTTGATCAACAGTTGGCGGCCAAGGAGCAGCGGGCCAAGGCGCACAAACGACGGACATCGTACGAGGAGTTCAAGCGTCTTGTGCGCGAAATCGATGCCAGCAACAGCGACATGGAGCAGCAAGCGCTGGAATGTCAGCTGGACACACCCACAGCAATAGCAACAGCAGCAACAATAACAGCAGCAGCAGCAGCAACATCCCCGCTTAAGCGTCAGAATTCGAGACAGCGCAAAAGTTTTGCCTCCTACTTTCTGCCGCGTCGCAACTCGGCAGCCAAAGAGCCAAAGACTGAGCAAATTGAACTGGCAGCTCCAGAGCAACAGCAACAGTTGCAATCGTATGCGAAAATGGCGAGCAGGAAAGACAGCTGCAGCTCCAGCGTGAGCTCCAGTGCCAGCTATAAGCGTAACTTTAAAATCTATGATAAGCTCATCTATGGCACCATCTATGACATAATACAGCGCAAGAATGATATCTATCAGTTTACCTATCAGAAGTACGACAAATACATGACCTATGGCACCATCTATGAGATACTGCATCGCAAAGCAACGCCCATGCAGGGAAGCAACTCGCTGACCACAGGCAGCGCCGACAAATGGCAGCGCAAGAGTCTCAGCTCCATACTAGAACGCGACACGGCAGCAACATGCACAGCAGCAGCAACAACAGTTGCTGCAGCAACAACAACAACGGCGCTGCAAATGCATAAATCAAATGATGTGATTTATGATATAATACAAAAGCAGCAGCAAAAGCGCGAAAAAGAACGTCAAGAGCAAAAGCTGAAACAACAGCAGCAGCAGCAACAGCAACAATTGCTGCAACAGGATGCAGCAACAGACGCTGCCACAAATTTGGGCACGCATGTCACGCACAAATATGGCACAATTTATGACATCCTACAAGGAGAGAAATTGGAAACCAGCGAGGAGGCAGCCAACACGAAACCAGTTGCTGCTACAACGCGTTTCGTGGTCAGCCATGTGGACGAACAGCAGCAACTGCAACAGCAGCACCAACAACATGCCGCCGACAGCAGCAATGTTGTCGCTGCGGCCGACACGAAGTGCAGTAAAATGCGACGCTTGTCGAATATTCTAAGCTACAACAAATCAGGCAGCAACCAAACGCCGCAGGATGCCGCCAGCAACGACAACAGCGAACAGCAGCAGCAACAGCAACAGCTGCTGGCTAAACGCAGCCAGGCCAAGCGTCGCGTGGGCGTTAGCAATCTGCTGCTGCCGCTGGACTCCGAGGAGCTGTACACGCGCATTATAGCGCAGCAGCGATGCGCGGGCAGCAACAGCACCAGCTGCGGCAGCAGCAACAGCTCGGGCAGCGATGCCGACTGTCAGGTGGCGCTGACGAAATCCAATTCCTTAGATGCCATATCCATGTCCGTGGCCATTTCGCCGCCAGCCACGCCCTCGCCGCCACGCCCGCGTCGCAGTCTCAAGCAGCACAAATGCCTGCAGCAGCAACAGCTCCAGCAGCAGCCGCAGCAGTTGATGAAGAAGCATTCGCTGGACAATTGCCTGGCGGCGCCCAAACAACCGCAACGTCGCTGGTCGAATCAAACGCTGCTCAAATGCACCTGCCACAGGCTCGACGAGCTCAGCCATCGGCCCGGCCATAGCCATAGCCATTGCACTTGCCCAACGCCCACAATAGTCAGCCCGCACCCGCAACCGCCCCCACCGCCGCCGCCGCCGCCGTCGTCGTCGTCTCATGGATTGTCTGTCATTGAGAAGTGCCGCTCGCTGCCCGCCGCCTGCTCACATACGTGCGTAAATTTAAGCCCCGGCTGTGCCGATGCGGCGGCCAAGTCTAACACGAAAACTACAACAACGACAACGACAACAACAACAACAACAACACAGCTAACAACGTTGACTGTCAAGAAAGGCAAATCGCGTCGACTTTCGGAATTTACGCGTGGTGAATTTTTAAATGAAAAATCGTAAGTTTCCAGAGCCTTCCCGCTCCGCCCCGCACACACACACACACACACAGTTTATATTCATTAACTTATGATTAGACTATTGACAATAACATTTTATGCTATTTTTTGGCTTTATAGACTTTGCCTTGCCATTTGCCATTTCATTCAGCTGCTTTTTTTATGGCACTTGGAAAGTACAAACGGCTGGCCAAAAAAAAAAAAAAAAAAAAAAAAAAAACAGACAGTATCGCCAGTTGCTGGCAATTCAAAGGCAAAACTCTAAATGAATCTTAGACTAAATTCTTCTACAATTTTCCCATACACCAAATTTACTCTAATTATCTAGACAACTCTGAGCAAGTCTTAAGTGTATTTCTTTCTGAAATATATTCTCTGCAAGCGCGTTAAATTTCCCAAATGACGTCATGTTTGGTGCATTTGCACTTGTGGGATTTATGGCGCACAATAGGCGTCACACCCATTCCGGGGCACCATACTAATTGTGTTAGATCCAGACACAGCTGTCAGGTATTTTTTTTTATTATTATTTTCTGTTTTCATTCCGCAAATGTGTAGGCCAAAAACGTATGTAAAAATGTACAGTACATGCCATGACTTTCATTCTGTAGAAAATCTTGAAAAAAATATAAATAAAAAATAAACCAAAGGGTGACTAATCAGAATGCAGGCACTTGACCATTGAAAAATAGAGAGGTAGAAAAAAACCAAGCAATAATTGAAATTCAAAATAATTGTTCATGTATGACAAATGCAAAAAAAAAAAAAAAAAAAAAACGTCACACATACGCAAAACACACCCAAGTTCGAAGACGTTCTAGTGTATGGTGTTTGTTTACAAGTAGGTGGTAAAGTGCCTGGTAAATATTTTTTTTATAATGAAACAGCTTCTGCTTAATAACTATGCCAGTGTGTCTTGTTCCCACACGTTTCTCTCTCTCTCTCTCTCTCTCTCTCTCTCTCTCTCTCTCTCTTTCTCTCTCTCTCTCTCTCTCTCTTTCTCTCTCTCTTTGTTTTGTCGCGATCTTTCGCTTCCATGTTGTAATCAGCGCCAATGTCACGTCTTTATGTTATTAACCTGCCAATTATTTGACTATCCAAAATCAGTCAGGTACGTGGCCCGCAGAGCAGCTACTCCTCATTATACCTTCGGGTATTTTTGGTACCGTTTTGTTTTCAGCTGTTGCCATGCCCCGAAATGAATGGGAGTAGAAAAAAAAGTCGTGACAATTTTCGAGACATGCTTTAATTAAGCGCTAAACAAACATGGCTCGACGCATTTCAAACTTTGTCTTTTTTTATATTTATTTTATTTTTTGTTATGTCTTTTTCTTCGAGTTTATCACCAGGTTTACAATTGTTTGCCGCTGCTGGCGCTTGTCTCATTTTTGGGAGCTTTCGGGCTTTTTGCTCGAGTGGCTCAGCACGTGTGGCCCGAAACAAGTACAATATGTTTGTACAATTTCGTATTGATATGCAAATTGGTGGACTGAACCAATTTGAAATGCATTTTGGCCTTGAAGTTAACTTGAATTCAATTTGTTTGACGTCTCTGCTAGAGTAGATTTATGCATGTTTGTGCAGCTACATCCAACAAATATTTACAATAATGAGAGAAAACCTCGATTTAGGGCTCGAGCAAGATTTAATGAGGGGTTTTATAAAAATATCATAGAGTAGAGTTTTGACCGAGTTGTGGGTGTGGGAAATATGGACCCATGTCTATATAGGATTTTGGAGGTGATGATTTTTACATGAATTTGGACCAAAAATGATATTGCCAGATTTAAATGCCAAATTTTTCTAGAGGCAAAACCATGAATAAAAAGGCAAGCTCCATGAAAATCGGTTGAGTTTTGACCGAGTTATGGGTGTGGGAAATATGGCCCATGTCTATATAGTAAGTATGGGTGTGGGAAATTTGGACCCATGTCTATATAGGATTTTGGAGGTGATGATTTTTACATGAATTTGGACCAAAAATGATGTTGCCAGATTTAAATGCCAAATTTTTCTAGAGGCAAAACCATTAATAAAAAGCCATGCCTCATGAAAATCGGTTGGGTTTTGACCGAGTTATGGGTGTGGGAAATTTGGACCCATGTCTATATAGGATTTTGGAGGTGATGATTTTTACATGAATTTGGACCAAAAATGATGTTGCTGGATTTAAATGCCAAATTTTTCTAGAGGCAAAACCATTAATAAAAAGCCAAGCCCAATGAAAATCGGTAGAGTTTTGACCGAGTTATGGGTGTGGGAAATATGGACCCATGTCTATATACTTAGGATTTATTAGGCTAGAATTTTTACATGAATTTGGACCAAAAATGATGTTGCCAGATTTAAATGCCAAATTTTTCTAGAGGCAAAACCATTAATAAAAAGCCATGCCTCATGAAAATCGGTTGGGTTTTGACCGAGTTATGGGTGTGGGAAATTTGGACCCATGTCTATATAGGATTTTGGAGGTGATGATTTTTACATGAATTTGGACCAAAAATGATGTTGCTGGATTTAAATGCCAAATTTTTCTAGAGGCAAAACCATTAATAAAAAGCCAAGCCCCATGAAAATCGGTTGAGTTTTGACCGAGTTACAGATGTTGGAAATTTGGACCCATGTCTATATAGGATTTTGGAGGTGATGATTTTTACATGAATTTGGACCAAAAATGATGTTGCCAGATTTAAATGCCAAATTTTTCTAGAGGCAAAACCATTAATAAAAAGCCATGCCTCATGAAAATCGGTTGGGTTTTGACCGAGTTATGGGTGTGGGAAATTTGGACCCATGTCTATATAGTATTTCGGAGGTGATGATTTTTACATGAATTTGGACCAAAAATGATGTTGCCAGATTTAAATGCCAATTTTTTCTAGAGGCGAAACCATTAATAAAAAGCCATGCCCCATGAAAATCGGTTGAGTTTTGACCGAGTTATGGGTGTGGGAAATATGGCCCATGTCTATATAGTATTTCGGAGGTGATGATTTTTACATGAATTTGGACCAAAAATGATGTTGCTGGATTTAAATGCCAAATTTTTCTAGAGGCAAAACCATTAATAAAAAGCCAAGCCCAATGAAAATCGGTAGAGTTTTGACCGAGTTATGGGTGTGGGAAATATGGACCCATGTCTATATACTTAGGATTTATTAGGCTAGAATTTTTACATGAATTTGGACCAAAAATGATGTTGCCAGATTTAAATGCCAAATTTTTCTAGAGGCAAAACCATTAATAAAAAGCCATACCCCATGAAAATCGGTTGAGTTTTGACCGAGTTACAGATGTTGGAAATTTGGACCCATGTCTATATAGGATTTTGGAGGTGATAATTTTTACATGAATTTGGACCAAAAATGATGTTGCCAGATTTAAATGCCAATTTTTTCTAGAGGCGAAACCATTAATAAAAAGCCATGCCCCATGAAAATCGGTTGAGTTTTGACCGAGTTATGGGTGTGGGAAATATGGCCCATGTCTATATAGTATTTCGGAGGTGATGATTTTTACATGAATTTGGACCAAAAATGATGTTGCCAGATTTAAATGCCAAATTTTTCTAGAGGCAAAACCATTAATAAAAAGCCATGCCCCATGAAAATCGGTAGAGTTTTGACCGAGTTATGGGTGTGGGAAATATGGACCCATGTCTATATACTTAGGATTTATTAGGCTGGAATTTTTACATGAATTTGGACCAAAAATGATGTTGCCAGATTTAAATGCCAATTTTTTCTAGAGGCGAAACCATTAATAAAAAGCCATGCCCCATGAAAATCGGTTGAGTTTTGACCGAGTTATGGGTGTGGGAAATATGGCCCATGTCTACATAGTATTTCGGAGGTGATGATTTTTACATGAATTTGGACCAAAAATGATGTTGCCAGATTTAAATGCCAAATTTTTCTAGAGGCAAAACCATTAATAAAAAGCCATGCCCCATGAAAATCGGTAGAGTTTTGACCGAGTTATGGGTGTGGGAAATATGGACCCATGTCTATATACTTAGGATTTATTAGGCTGGAATTTTTACATGAATTTGGACCAAAAATGATGTTGCCAGATTTAAATGCCAATTTTTTCTAGAGGCAAAACCATTAATAAAAAGCCATGCCTCATGAAAATCGGTTGGGTTTTGACCGAGTTATGGGTGTGGGAAATTTGGACCCATGTCTATATAGGATTTTGGAGGTGATGATTTTTACATGAATTTGGACCAAAAATGATGTTGCCAGATTTAAATGCCAAATTTTTCTAGAGGCAAAACCATTAATAAAAAGCCATGCCCCATGAAAATCGGTTGAGTTTTGACCGAGTTACAGATGTTGGAAATTTGGACCCATGTCTATATAGGATTTTGGAGGTGATGATTTTTACATGAATTTGGACCAAAAATGATGTTGCCAGATTTAAATGCCAATTTTTTCTAGAGGCGAAACCATTAATAAAAAGCCATGCCCCATGAAAATCGGTTGAGTTTTGACCGAGTTATGGGTGTGGGAAATATGGCCCATGTCTATATAGTATTTCGGAGGTGATGATTTTTACATGAATTTGGACCAAAAATGATGTTGCCAGATTTAAATGCCAATTTTTTCTAGAGGCGAAACCATTAATAAAAAGCCATGCCCCATGAAAATCGGTTGAGTTTTGACCGAGTTATGGGTGTGGGAAATATGGCCCATGTCTATATAGTATTTCGGAGGTGATGATTTTTACATGAATTTGGACCAAAAATGATGTTGCCAGATTTAAATGCCAAATTTTTCTAGAGGCAAAACCATTAATAAAAAGCCATGCCCCATGAAAATCGGTAGAGTTTTGACCGAGTTATGGGTGTGGGAAATATGGACCCATGTCTATATACTTAGGATTTATTAGGCTGGAATTTTTACATGAATTTGGACCAAAAATGATGTTGCCAGATTTAAATGCCAATTTTTTCTAGAGGCGAAACCATTAATAAAAAGCCATGCCCCATGAAAATCGGT